CAGACAGATAGATGCGGATACGCTGGCCTCCAAATCTTTTCTTCAGATACTCAGGCATTGTCACAATCTAAACAACACACTTTATTGTACAATTATTATTATAATTTTTTAATTAAAATTAAATGTGTACTGTTGTTTACCCCAGCCCTAATGTAGATGGGTACAAACACCCATCCCAGAAGGACAACGATGATAAGAGCCTGCAATAAACAAAGCAATGAGGCCTTAGGGGGGGGATACAGTTGGGAGATCTGTGTTAACTATATATGCTGTGACCTATGATAATGTATCTATTTCTGCAATCTGTCCTAAAGCCATGGTCATTAAATCTGTAACATGTAATAAAAACATTTGTGTAAGTGACTAATTTAGATAGCATAAACATACTTACATTCAACTCAAATGCAGCAATTGCTATACCTGCTGCTGCAGCTGTGCCTGAGTGTCCCACAAAGTGACCGCTGCCTATATTGCTGGCAAAGAGAGATGCTCCAATCTGTAAGCAAACACATGCAACAAATATGAATTTGTGTTTTCATATACACTAATTGAGAAAATAAATAAACAATCCTATTCAACACTTCAGGCAACAGATATAATTTTCTAATCAATACTCACTGGCCACCACACCATACTCCTCCCAGCCAGGAAGAAGCCACCCACTGTGGACCGGTTGGTCCGAACCATAGCCTGAAACAGAACAGCCAGACATACTGTTGTGACATTCAATCTGTTTTGGAAGTTAGTTTTATAAAAAGATTCTTATTGTTTATTAATCAGACATGTTCCATTTCCAAGTTGATGGGCAATAAAATAATTATGAAAGGGGTGGCTCTTGACTTGTTTAGTAACTTGTGAATGCACAATTTCACTTTCCTTATATTTAAGTAAATCAACTGAAACCATTTAACTGACATGTGGAAATATACGATGATGAACCACCACATTGTTAATTAGTTTTACTTTAACAGTACAAAAGAGCAACTCAAACCTGGAACTGAGTAAAAAGTTAACAATTCACAGAGACAAGGCCCCACTGTGTGGTCAACAGACAGACTTACCCAGACTCCAACGGCCAGCACAACCAGAAAATAAATCACAATGACAGAAATGTCAGGTGCATTGTTAAGCAAACTAGAAGTGCCATTTCTGGCAGCATTCTTGACGTAGGAGAATCCAAAGTAGTCTCGAGACATCCTTTCAGTCGACCGAGAGAGTAATGTGGAAGTGGCAGGTTTGTCCCTGTTTGCCCCTGTTTACAGGCACTTGAGACTTGGGACTGTGGAGCTGTCAGGTGGAGGTGTGTCTTTAATGCATTTCTGTGAGGCACGTGCTGGGTCAGGATGGGTCAGAAGTAAGGACACCTAGTTATCAAAGATTAACTATTATCAAATTGAAAATGTAATAAAATTAATAAACATTACATGACCACGGGCAAAGTGTCTGATGAAATACAAATCTTGTTATCAATTAACCCATGAGGAAGAAAGTGAATCAATTTGACTTTATTCATTAGTTCTATGCATTTTTAGACATGGAATTTTACAATAAATTATAACTTGTAATTGACAATTTTACTTTGCAGTGACATCTCACTAGGGGTACTACATGGATGTCTATGGTGGAATGTTCAGCAGTTACCATGGTGATACATTAGCAAACAAAGCTAAATAAATTTTAAGATAGTCAACAAAAATGGTGAGACTGGGCTACAATTCCAATATGAATATTGCAAAATTAAATATTAATACAATTTCTAATTATTTATATTATAGTTTTCTATAGGTTCTCCTCTCGCACAATTAAAAGAGCTAATAAAAACAACACTACACATTGTCACTAGATGGTACTATAATAGTTACAGTTGTGAGCAGCTCCTGTTTCCTCCGTAATAAGAGAAGATTTACAGACATTACAATGCTCTGATGCTGAGATTATTTTATTTAATTTGTTTTTATAATCTCTGAATTACTCCTAGTGACACTGTAGTGTATAGAAAAATACACACAGCACTGCAGTCAACATTACACATTGTCAGACTGGTATTGTTGTAAATGGCTTGAAATCTCCAAATGGGGAAAATCAATTAACTTCTTGAATGAGAATAAATGACTGAAATGAGGCCAGAGCTCTGAAGATTAAGGCCCGCTCACACTGTAATTTCAATGTCCATTCTGTACACAACAGGACACTTAAACATCCATCTTAAGCCTGCCAAGAGGATTTAAGTAATTTATCCTCCATGTACATCTCTCAGTTTCACATTGACTCACAAAACCTATATTTACACCATGATCTTCCGTTGGCATACCACTGGCATACTGTTATCTAAATTGTGTCATATTGCTGTTGAACAGGGCCTTTGCTATGTTCACCTGATATCTCATCAATGAGTCTGGATGTTCAAAACACAAATACAGAGTCATGCTCTGGATAAACAATAATACTACTGCTGATAGCTTGAGGGTTAAAGCCTCCAGTGAAGCTTATAAACGTGGAAAGTGTTGCATTCAGTAAAAATACGCTGAAGGCTTGTTAAAACTATTCAATATATGATGCTGTTTAAATGTGAGTTGTGGAACAAATCACTAAACTAGTCCATCATAAGGAAGTATGTGAAGAAATTGGTAATCTTCAGTGATTAATTTCACTAAAAAATCATAAAAATAGTTTGGAGTGTTTTACAATAAACAATATATTTTTTAATTTATTAATAGCCTATATGAAATTTTAAACATACGCTAATCAAAAGTGTGGACACAGTTTTTCATTCATGTTCCTTCTTTATTTGCATGATTATTTACATTGTAGATTCTCACTGAAGCTACCCTTTTTTTTGAACCCTGGTTTGCTCTTTCTTTTCTTGACGCTCATGAGGCAAAGCTGCGAAGTGAAAACCATTTCAGTACACTTCATCGGGAAGATCACCTGAGACAGTCCCAATTTTGAGCCCTGTGTCCCCTCTCTCAAGATATTTGTCCAAAACCAGTGATTTGTCCCAATTTTTTTACAAGAAATGTCCCAGGTGTCCCTATTTTTGACCAAGCTGATCCCTGCTAACAGTAAAGAGAAGCATAAATTGTCATTTGTTTAGGTAAAGTACAGAAAAGCTGCTTAAAAATGACCCAAATACAAAGAAAATATGACTATACTGACTCACATTAGTGCCGAGTGCCTAACAGTTTTCCTTAATTACACACTCCTTTCACAATTTATCCTTTTCACATTTTATTATTACCAACCAACCCAGTATTTTATTTTGAAAATCTGGTCACCCTGATGTTACATAGCAAACCTTTAAAATTATTTACTCATTTCCAATAATTTTCTGGATTATTAATGCAAAAAAATATCAGATAATTGACATTGCTGTAGTTTGTAAGTCACGACCACAATGATTTTTTATGATGTTGGGTTTTGAGGCGTGGCCACCAGGGGGTACATTTGCATGTGTTTCTATAGTAGACCACTTCAATCCTGAAAAGGGGACGTTTTGCTATTGGGTTATAATTTTTGAGCTGGCATATTAAAGCTTAACACTGAACATGATTTAGATCTTGTATGTAGCCTACTGTAGCACATAAAATAAAATAGAATTTCCTCAGATTGATTATGGTGATGGAGTAGTGTTACAGAATATGATTTAACTGTTTGCCAGACGATTTGTGTGTTGTGCAAAAGGAACGCACTGCAGTTAGCCTTTGGTATTGTCACTGACTGTGGTATCATTGTGAATATAGCAATAGAATAATACTAACACTGGACATTCCCGCTCCTACTGTGAGCTGCTCACGTAGGGGGCTGCAGAATAGTATTCCACAGAGCGCAGTTACATTAAGTAACTTTCTGAAAGTGGAAAGGCGGCTGCCTGATTCCATGGAAATATAAAGTTAAAACCATTCTTTGGACCACTCTCATTGGAGATAGATACGTTTTAGGCCATCCTGTGAAATATTAGTCCGTTCCGTGAAGATGCAAGCCCACTCATACTGTAGTAGTCACATTTTTATGTTTTTCAAGGCAACAAACACATCCATATGAAAACACATGCTTTTATTTTTTTAGTCTATTATTTGGCAAAAATGGTACACACCATAGCTTTAAAAACCAACATACTGAAACAACTACAGATTTTAAAGGTGCATTGTGCAACTTTTCTGGTGAAGAGTCCATCAAATGCCTTTCATATCTTCATGGAGATCAAACCAGATCAAGTTACAGGTCGCCAGCGCTGATACTGGAAAATGAGCTGGATATCAGGGTATCAGTTCCATGACATTGGTTAAGGCGAAATCGTGGTTGGGCCTTGAACTGGATGCAGTAATATTCACAGGTTGATTTAGGCCTAGAACGTCTCATTATGTTTGAACTTTCATTCATCTGAATCAGTTCAGTATTTATGTGAAGGATAAATAACAGTTGTCTCTTGTGGAATAAGTTAACTGTTTTTTTTAATGAATAAGAGCCACTTTCCATCCCTATACTGGTACCGGTTAATATTGGGTATTGACAGAAACTGAAAGTCAAATTATCGATATCGGTATCAGAACTGAAAAAGCTGGATTGGTGCATCCACAGTATAGCATTAAATTTACCTACAGTATGTTCATGGAGACAAGCAGGTGATCCACTCATGTGGTTGATTTAAAAACATTCAACACCTCATACCTTTTTGTTATGAACCATTCAAACTTTTAGATCTCTGTACTCTTCCACAATAAAATACATGTAACATTATTGATATGCAATCATGCAAAAATACAAATGGAATAAAAGCATGCGAGGACAAGTCAGCACAACAGAGATATAAAAAAGCACATGGTCCTGTTTAGGAGTTTGATTTTCTGTAAAAATGGTGAGTGTAACTAAGTGAAAAACTGTATTTGCGCTGTAAAACCACCTGTCATTGAATAAATGTAAGACAGAGAGGTTGAACGTCATACTGTGGAACATTCCAAGCAGGTGACAGACCCCAAATCATATAGTCACATAGTGCACCTTTAATTTTGTAAAGAGATTTTTCTCTTGTACAGACCCCACAAAGCATAGTATCTCAACGCCACAAAAAACTCCTTGTCACGGAGTCCATAGATGAGTGGACTGAGGCAGCGCGGTGCAAGACTGAACATGATATAATTCATATACCGAATGTTGATGTACAAAACTAAACTAATCTGCAATAAGGCTGTTTCTACAAATGGACACCAGAACTGGATGAGACAGAGAAGCAGCTGGAACGCATGGAGGGACACAGTCTGTAGACCTTTCTTCGAAGCCTTCTTATTCTCCGCCGATGCTGCCTGCGCCACCACCATGATTTTAATATAAGAAAATATGATAATGATTAACATGACAAGGAAGTAAAACTGACTGACCCCTGACCTTAAGTGACTCTGCCACACCGTAATCGTCAGCTTTTCCACGGTGCAGCTAACATCCTCACGATAGAAGCTGACGTTTACGGTGGTGAAAACAGCGAGGATCATAATGAGACATGGGATAAAGCTAACTCCGTGAATAACCAAAATGCCATACAGGGCTCTTTGTGCTGAGCAGATCTGTCCGTGCTGTAAGGGCATGCAGATGGCTACGTAGCGTTCCAAGGTCATGGCGGTTAGCGTGACCGGCGTGATGAAGTTATGCAAAGAAGATACAACGACAATAATCAAACACAGCCACATCTGCATATAAATTCTAAAGGAAATGAAGATGAGTAAAAGGTTTGTGATAATGAGGTACAGGCAGTCAGACATGAGCGCGTTAATGAACAAAATGTAACGCGTGCTTCGGTAGAAAACCTCCTTCATGAAGAACGTTGTGATCATTAGACAGTTGATGTAAAGGAAAATGATTACAAGCACCTGAACAATCACAAGGCGATAGCGAGATTGTTGCTCTGCAGATCCCAAACTTGGAACAGACTGGTTATAAGCCATGCATGAAATAATATAATAGTTTACAATAAGGCATCAGATACATTTAGTAGTAACAGTTCCTAGTGCAGTTTACATTGAGTGGGAGCAGTGTACAGAGCAGTGATCCCCTTCTGAGCGCTGGGACATTGTGCTGCTTCATTTAAAGGCTCAGACAAAAGTAAACAATGTCGTCAGCGTTCATTTTTTCCCTCTTGTCTAAATCTAATGAGGAGCGGTGTTACAAAGGGAGTGCTTCTATGTTCCCACAGCTCCACGTTAAAGGTGCCGTGTCTGATTTTTACTGTCTCAAAAAAAGTGAAATACAAGACAAAGTTTGCAGTGGTCCAAAGTTATTCCTCACTTACCTTATGCATTCAAGGGATTCTAATTATTCACTGTGATGAGTTTATAAGCACTTTCACAACTTTCAGAGACCAGTGTGGGTTTTCTCTGTGACAGTAAAGCTATCAACTAGCATCCTAGCACGCACTTCCTGATTATCAAACAATAGAGTTCTAATTAGATGCAGACAGCATGCAGTCGAGTTTTTACCTCAAGAGCTGCTTATACAATATTCAGCAGGGGACACCAAAGTTTTTTTCATTATTACTCCTGACTGTGATGGGGACCGGGGTCGGGTCAGTCAGTCAGATTTGAACGACCCTGACGATGCATAATATATTCTTTGAAAACCGCCACACTTTCTTTACTTATCAGACAAACTGCACGCTCCTCACACTGAACAACAAAATAATCGATCGTCCACTGTTCTTTGAAAACTCAGCACTCTCTATCAACTTTTTGTACTTTAACCCAGCCATTTTGTTGTCCTTAACTGCACTACACAACTCTGCATGTGAGTTGATTGTCATTATTTCATCTTGAGCTTGTCAGGTGACAAAAATTCAGTGCCAAATTCGGTCACAAATGTAAATATGTCATATAATTATTTAAATATAAATACTTCATATACATATCATTTGTATTGAAAAAATCTACAAAATACAAGATGCCAGTATCTTACTATTTGCCAAAAAGTTATAAAAAATAAAATAAAATAGGCCATAACAACTATTGAGGATTGCCTCATAGGGCCGATTCAAGTGGTGGGGGCAGAGAACTATCTCATTTTAAATGGTTGTGTAAGTTTGCGTAGTGACAGAGACAGAGTGCATCTGATTTATGAAACCCAAATAACAACAAAATAAGCCAGACTTGGTCATTTGAGCCAAGCTTACAAAATAAGCCAGTGTTATGAAACAGGCTTCTGGATGAGAGCATGTCTCTAGAATAACCACCAGATTCAGCCATCTAGAACAGCATCATGTCTGGGCCTCTGGAAAACATATGATCATTTTCTCATTATTTAAATTGATGAGCAATAGTAAAGAGCCTTTGCGTGCGTCCCTCAAGTGCTTTATGTTCAGCACCATGGACAGAGGCATAGCCCATTCGCTACCAAGCACACACATTGCCTGAGCTGAAGACACCAGTGCTGAAGTACTGTGGTATGCACACAAGTACTGCCACAACATGCACATGTCACCATGGCGATGGAGTGGTTGGTTGCTTTTGTGGCTACCTTGTTACGGCCACAGGCCTCCAGATCCTCCTCTGGCCACTCTGTGTAGAGCCTCTTTTTGTTAAACTCTTGTAAAAATCATTGTTTTGTTAGTTTTACCTTACAATTCTGTTAAATAAATCACAACTTTAGTTTTACCATTTTACAACCTTGGTTATTTTGTTACTTCCCCCTGTCCCTAGCAGAGCTGGGTCGTAACAATTGGGGGCTCGTCCGGGATATTTCCAACCCTTCCTGGAATACTGAAGTTGTACAAATTGTTTAATTGGATTGTTTTAGGTAAGTCTTTTGATTTAGATTAGTTCTACAATGTCGTCGGTGATGGTGGACAGGTTGGTGGAACGTAATTTCTGTGTCTCACGTGTGGTTGGTTCCGAATTGCCTAATGTGTGTGTGGACTCTGAGCTTGTCACTCCTGTGGGTGCTGTGGAGGTTGCTGTGCGGCCTAACACTCCGGACAGTCTTCCTCTGCGCCAGCCCCTCTCGTCCTCCTGTTCTCCCAGGGACGGAGCTCGGCTCAGAGTGCGCCTGGCTCGTCTCAAAATGGAGACTGAGGCCAAGGAGAGGGCGCGCAAGGCTCAGCTTGAACTTCGAATCCGAAAGCTCGAGATTGAGGCTGAGACAGCTATTAAGCTCAAACAGCTTGAGCTTGAGTCTCAGGCCCATCTGTTAACCAGCTCTGGTTCTACTACTGCCACTGACCTGCCTTCCACCTTCCAGTCTACTGCACCTTTTGACGTAAGTACAAACATTTCACTTGTTCCCACATTTGGGGAATGCGATGTAGACACCTATCTTGCAGTCTTTGAACGCATCGCAACAGCCTTGAAATGGCCCCGTGATGTTTGGCCAATTTTGCTACTATGTAAACTCACTGGTAAAGCTCAAGAAGCCGTTGTTAGTTTACCAGTTGAGAAAAGTTTGTGTTACGACACTGTGAAAGCTGCCATTTTGAGTGTCTACCAATTGGTTCCTGAGGCCTACCGGCAAAAATTCAGACAGCACTCCAAAGTCCCGAGTCATACCTACTCCCAGTTTGCTAGAGAGAGAAGGGGAATCTCTTTGATAAATGGTGCACTTCCTGTAAGGTTTCTGATTTCAGTGCACTCCGTGAGCTCATCTTGTTGGAGGATTTTAAGCAGTGTTTGCCTACTCATCTTGTTTTGTATTTGAATGAGAAAAGGGTCCAAACCCTTTCTGAAGCTGCCATATTAGCCGATGAGTTTATTTCAATTCACAAAAGCAACTTCTCTGTGACTCCGCCTAAATGTTCCTCACATTTCCCTGTTTCATCCACATCACTGAAAGTGAAAAGGCCAAAAGACCAAAGAAAATGTTTCTATTGCCATAAATCTGGTCACATCATTGCCAACTGCCCAGCCCTGAAGCGAAAAGCCGAACGCACTGCATCCAAACAAAGTGTCAGTTTAAGTCAATCTGGTTCAACCACATTAGCCACTGACACTAGCCAAAGGCTTGACTCAGATTCTGAATCTTTGGTTTTGGGTGGTTTAGTGGGACAACCTTCTGGCAAAGCATCTGATCTGCACCTTTCTGATTCTGTTTTATTGTCCAATTTTTCAGATAAACCGGTGGTTTCCAAGCCTGCTGGGGCAAGGTTACAAGCCTGTCCTGAGAGCCCTGAATATGGCAGAACCTTTCTATACTGTAGAGATGGACTGCGCACGGGGGTTGACCATCAAATTTCAAAATGTAGTTGCAACCTTGATGCATGTTACCTGATTGTGTCCCTCCCTCCTAACAAAAGCTGTAGGCAGCTCAGTGGAACTCCCTCATGTTTTAGCCACTGTTCTAAACGTGGCTCTAAAATTCACAAGGTTTGTAGACTTGGAGCGCCTGGTTAAAATGTGTGTTAATCACACTCCAGACTCTTTAGTTTAGAAAAATTAGGTAAGTTAAGTTAGTTTTGTGCATTTTTGTAAGAAAGCTGATGATGCTATTCGCCAAATATTTGGATAAGGTTGGCAAGTGCAATGATTTGCTAGAAGTAAGTATGGCTTTGTTTTTGTTTATATTACAAACTGGGTTTGTAACTTAAGGGGGGGAGTGTTACGGCCACAGGCCTCCAGATCCTCCTCTGGCCACTCTGTGTAGAGCCTCTTTTTGTTAAACTCTTGTAAAAATCATTGTTTTGTTAGTTTTACCTTACAATTCTGTTAAATAAATCACAACTTTAGTTTTACCATTTTACAACCTTGGTTATTTTGTTACTTCCCCCTGTCCCTAGCAGAGCTGGGTCGTAACAACCTGGCTCACACACTGAGCTTAAAACAGAGTTTTTGAAACTCTGTTTTTAATGTCATAACATTGGATTTTAAGCAAAGGACACAAGTAAAGGACTATTCAGAGGAAATGCTTTGAGGGAATGAACACAACACATGTACACTTCTGCCACATATGTATTTCATATGTATTATTTATTCAGAGAAAATTTTGGCTACGGTCGCTCTGGCATCCGGCAAAAACAAAATCTGAATTGATCCGGAGCACCACACCACGTCCACCGGCACCACCAGACTGCAAAGCCCATAGACCAGGCATGTCCAACTATGGACATGCCTGGCCCGGGGGCCAAATGCGGCCCTCAGACAAGTTTTTCTTGGCCCTCAGACTTCCAGGTGAATTGGCCCAAATTACACTGCATCAATTGAAAAATATTTTTTTACTGCAAGTTTTTTTTTGAAAATCTACCTTGATAAAGCTAATATTTCATATTTAGTGTGTGGTTGTAAGGATCTTAGCATGAATAAAGACTGATGCCTCATTCTAATGTGTTAAACATGCACACATTTCAATTATTCCCTGTACTGAGCATCAGTGTACAGCCCTCAATCGGCCCTCTGCTTGGTCTGTGTTTAGATATGTGGCCCTTGATGAAAAAAGTTTGGACACCCCTGCCATAGACTGAGCTCCTCTTGATACTTGTAATTATACAGAATACTCACTGCCACCAGACCAGAGCTGAGCCCAGGGTTAAACAAAACTTGATCTGATCTCAAAGCGTGACCCATGTGCTGTAAGCAGAGGAGCCAGGGTTTCCACTGCAGGGACTGACCCCGTCTGTACAGGTTTAGTTAGTGAGCGCTCGGCCATAGGGACCACTCACAGGTCTGCACATATGCACAGGTGTGTGCTCATATGACAACACTTCTTTGAACAATTGTTCTTTCACAGATTTGGGTCAGTCGTGGATTTGCACCTGATTACATTCGACTGGAAAACCTTCCAGATGTAAGTCTACCAGCTGTATACGGGAATCCAAATATGCCGGATTATTTTTCAAATGGTCATGTAGCAGCTGCAGAGACCTGATGACTAGAAAAAGCCCAGTTATGAACTACAGCTGTGTTTCACAACAATAAATGAAAAAACAAACATGTCAGTAGTTTAAGTTAGCATAGCTGCCCATGGGTAACTT